TTTTCCTCAGCCCATAGCCCTCGGTAACCACCAATCTACTCTGTTTTTATCAATTATACTTTTAAAACATTTTGTTTTAGATTCCACATCTAAGTGAGATCATGTGGGATTTGACTTTTTGTCTTCTTGTTTTACTTAGCATAATGTTTTCCAAATTCATCCACGTTGCCATAAATGGTAACATTTCCTTCCTTTTTTAAAGTCTGAATAATAGTCTATACCTCTACATGCCACCTTCTTTCATCCATCAATCAATAAACACTTAAGTTGGTTCCATATCTTTAGTACTCTAAATAACTCTTAGTGAAACAGGAGTGCTGATATTTCTTTGAAATAGTATTTTATTAGTTTGAGCTATATAAACAGAAGTGGTATTTCAGTAGATATTTTGGAGTGCCTATAATGTGCCAAGCACTGAATGATACATTGGGAATACAATGATGAAAATATAGGCACAGTTCTAACTTTTTGAACTTTCTAGGAGGATGACAGATATGAAACAAGGAATGAAGAAGCAATCATGAGAAATTCAACAAAGGAGGAATATAGGGGGATAGGAGACATAAATTAGATTGAGTACTCGGTGAAGATTTGCCAGAATATGTGATAGCTTGAATGAACTCTAAAATAAGTAGGAGAATATGGAAGAAAGATAAAAGTGCACCTCAGGCATGTGGAAGAGCATGTGTGAAGGCCTTGTAACAGGGAGGCACATGGGCTATTACAGGAAATGAAGGAGAGCCGTATAGTTGGAATTTAGAGAGAAGGTTGAGCGGTATGAAATGAGACTGCATTATTTCATTTTAAACCTTGTTTAAAATTTTGGAATGTACTTTAAGAGCAATGGAAAATCATGAAAGTTTTAGGTTGAGGAAGACAAAACAGACTTGAGATTTAAAAAGCTTATCTGCAATGTGGAGAGTAGATCTGAGAAAAGCAAACATACATGAGGGGTCCAGGTAGGATATAATATAGTAGCTCATTAGAGATCTGGGAACAGTGCAGATTGAGAGGTGTCCTCTCATATACATATATATTTGTATGTGTAGACACGTATACACACATCTATATGCAAATATAGAGAATTATGGTAACATATACATGTACACATACACACATATATTATGCATATATACACATATGTATATGTGTGTGTAGAGAGAAATTTGGCAATAGTTGCTGGTGGAGTTGTTAAGGGTATATGTGTATATATGTGTACATTGTTTATATATATGTATATATGTGTGTATACATAGAAAGAGAAATTTGGCAACATATATGCATATATGTGTGTCTTTGTATACATATATAGAGGGAAATTTGGCAACAGTGGCTGGTGAGTTATTTTAAAAGGTGTAAGGGAGTGATATGTCAAGGATAATTCTTAAGGTTTTTATAGTTTTAACTTTAGTAATTCATCAGGTACAGTGGCTGAAGAGGTTTGGGAGTGGAGTTGAAACCTTTGTGAGTTCAGCGCTGGGCACGCTCAGAAGAGATGTTGAATAAGAAGGTGGATATATGGATCTGGAACTCAAAGATGAGTCCAGGGACATAGATCATTAAATTATTCATTTGTAAAAAGATAATACATATGCCATAATCGAGTAAACTATATATATAGTGCTAGCAAGACACAGAGCAGGTTCTCAATAGATTGGGGCAGACAGGTAAAGGAGAATCCTGGAGCCCTCAGGGGCTTCCTCAGGCTTTAATGTTCTTTCTGTACCAATTGTTTTGGGTCAGATCCACAGGTTGGCAAGGCAGGGAGGTGGGTGGGTGGGGTGTGGCAGGAGGCTTGCAGTGCTCCCATCCCCTGGAATATCTACATGCTTTTCAGTTTGGGCTCTCTCTGTCATCCTTTCATGGTCCTGCCTCTCTGAAGTCACTCATTCTCTCCTAGCTGTTGCACTGCAGCCTCCTTTTACTGCCATCTGAGCGAATGTACCCTTATAGCGTCAGCCTCTAAGCTCAGGTGTGCATACTCACACATAGCCACACCACACTTCTGGTGTCTGGGATCAGGCCATGCGTGTGCACCACGCCCAAGCTCTTAAGCACCTTCTGCATTCAAGGCTGCAGGTGATAACCACAGAAGCTAGCAGTGTAAAAGCTCAATTATTTCATTTACTTTACAATGAAACATAAGTATTCAGAAAGTAGTTGTTAAATTCTAACCCAGGGAAACAATGAGTAAGAAATTTTGTCACAGTGATATAATAGGGTAGTCAATTCTTAGGTATTTATCATCTCATTTTATTGTGATTTATTCAGATAATTAAGTTCTCAAATTGATATTTCTTAGAATAATAGAATAGACGAAAATTAAGGTGCTTGGTTTTATACTATTTTACTGACATTGATAGGCTAATATTCACTTTTACTTTGGAAAATATCCACAAAGATTCATTAAAAGAAGTTATTTTGAGCATTTTCTTTATGCAGAAACTTTAAATTTTTATAAAGTAATAATCTTTTTCATACCCAGAAAGTGTGATAAATTTAGAGAAAGAACAACTAACCATAAACTGACAATTTTCTCTTTCAATTTTATGCTTTCTAGTCTTAGAAAAGAAGGCAAATTCAGGGTAAATATATTGGAAAATTAACACTACAGAGTAATTGCTTACTTTGTTTTCTACACTAAGTGTAGACTTCATGAAGATGGGGGGATCCTACTGATTAAATTAGTGACTTACACATATTAGTGACTTACTCAATAAATATTTGAAGTAAATTTAATGAATTAGTGAATTGTATTCACAGTGTGTCTGTATTTGTTAGAAAATTTCTGAATCTAGAGAAAAGTTGAGATAGGCATTTTGATATAGATATATATGTATTTATATTTCTTTCCTTCTCTCCATCCATCTATATTCTCAAATTAAAGAAGATTTTGGTAAGTTTTCTTTGTTAATCCTTGGGGAAAAATCTATTAATTTTCATTTTCATGGTATTAAAAGTATCACAGATAAGATCAATTTCACGTCTAATGATATTGAGAGCTTTCTTTCATACCAAGACAAGTGGCAGAATGATTTACTGAACAATAAACTATACTTTTTTTTTTTTTTAAAGATTTATTTATTTGTACATACAGAACTGGGGGTCCAGGCCAGAGGCTCAGGGGCGGTGAGAGGCTTCACCAGAGACAGAGTGGGGAGCAGAACAGGCAGATCGACGAAGTACACTGCTGAGGGGAGCAGCGGGCGGGTCAGGAGAGGTCTGCCACGCCATGTGGTCTCCTCCGGGGCAGGCGGGATTTGAACTCATGCGGAAGTGGCTTTAGCTTCCCAGTGCTGTGCTTTAACCCGCTGCGCCACCAGGGAGGGCCAATAAACTATACTTCTAAGAGGAATCTCTTTTACAGAAAATACCCATCAGAGGGACATATCACCAGAGAATTGTTTAATATGACAAGATAATCCCTAAAATAAATTAATGAAATATGTACTAAATTGCTAATGATTATGAAAAAGTGTTAACAGAAATGCAGCAAAAAAATTCCCAACAAAATACAGTTTTCAAGGAACTTTTGCATAATAACAACTGTGTATTGGTTATCTTCTAACTACAAACACTTGATAGCTGTGAGCAGATATGAAGGTGAAGAAACCTGAGCCCCTACCTCCATACCGCTTGCCATCTATTAGGAGAGTCAGAACTAAGCTCAACTCAGCAAACAATAATTCCTGCTTTGGAACTGGATTAGACTAAATGCCCTTGACAAAAACATGAATAAGGCAAAATCCTTATCAAAGAGAAGCTTATAATATAGGCCTTGCATATCTGGATGTATACTTTTATGAGTTTGAGGATATGCAAACTGTAGAGGAATCAAATAAATGGAAGCAATTTCAGTGTAATATGGCAAGTTATGACAGACTGGTAGCAATAGATAGGGAAGTTCAACCCAATATAGGGAAAAAAAAAAAGGAAGAAGTTGTAGAAGCTGAGCTGACTTTTGGGGATCAATGTTAGAGATGGGATGATTACTCCATGCTGAAGGAATAACAGTGCCACTGGCAAATGGTAGGTAAATGGTATGAGGTCTCCTACTGCGCCCTTTCTCAATGATTTGGAAATTATCTTGAGACAACTACACAATGAATTTCTGGGATAAGGACTGAAATCTCTTCTCTCACAGGCACCACCTCTCTCCTGTTTGCTTTGTTTATTGTCAGACACAAAATGTTTTAAATAATGGGGGCATGAAAGGAGGCAGACCTTGAATACTTAGGAGAGCTAAGTTAGCCCTTGGCACAGATAACCTTAATCCCTTCATCAAATACAATCATTTTAATATAAAGACTATTTATTTACTTTGATCATTTGTGGTACTCATTAGGAGATTCTTGAGCAAATTCTTCTTATAAACATATAGAAAACCATATTCAGAATCCATAAATATTTATTAATCATCTACTATGTTTTCATATTTTCTCCCTTCTGTAAAGCAAGTCTATTTTTGCGAATAAATAGTGTCAAGGAGGCTGTTTGGACTAACCAGAACAAATGCAGACACATTGAAGGGTCGATTCTGTTGAAGCTAGGGATTTTTTTTTGTGGGTTTTCACTGGGGAGAAAAAAGGAAAAGAAAAAGCTACGGAATACAGTTATAAACTATTGGCGTGAGAAGATACACCTCAGGGGCCATTACCAAAGTACAAACACGCTGGGGGGTAAGTTTCTTTTGTTCACAACATAAACTCCTTTCAATTTCACTCCGCTCTCAAAGTCTGCTAATTATTCTAGCTTTATCGTTATCAAAGGGTACCCAGGTGTTACCACATTTATTCTAGGCATAGGAATAAACGCCCACATCTCTGTTAAAGATTGGAAAATGAATCGAACTTCTTGCATTAGTTTAAGTATTTCAAGTGTGATACTGTCGCCGTCTGCAGGAACCTCCCATCAACGAACTACATTACCCAGAATTCACCGTTTTCCCTTCCGCCTTCTATCGAGGCTGAGCCTAAATTGATCTTTTCCACAAGCGATTGTCACATGATACATTTTCTGTCAAGATGGCGGATAATCTCCCTTCGGAGTTTGATGTGATCGCAATCGGGACGGGTATGTGTGACTCTGGTTCCTCTGGAGAAAGTGTAGAAAATCTATCTTTTCCCTACCTTCTCTGTCAGTGGCAGAGTTAACGAGAAATACTGGGGGTCGACCATGGAAGGGAAGATGGGAAGGAAGTGAGGTAGTCAGAAGTCTGCGGGGGACTTGGCAGCACCTGGGAGGGGCGCACCGGGCTTGGACCCGCGATTCTTAGCGCCATTTGAGTAGGGGTCGATCTGGTCGATGGTGATTGCTGAGGTTGGTTGCTGCGGGCGATCCTGTAATTTCTTTAGAGGGAGGTGGCTTTGCAGTTTCGAGGAATGAAGGTCGGAATTTTATCAGTGGAGACACCTTTTGTATAATGTTATGATTCCCTCCTTTTTAATTTCAAGGTGATAACTCCATCATTTTGTCTCGCCATTTCATAGGACTTACATATGTATATGTATTACGCATTTTGATGCATTATATATTTATATCATATATGTAAAAATATCGTAGGATGCAGTGTAGTTCAGATATAGCTTAATCCTCAGTTTTGCAAGAAAGATGCTCAGTTGTTGACCGTGTGCGTATTAATTTACTAGACGAGGAAGCAGATTCTACTCTATTGCGTTGAGAAGCGTAAACTGTTTTCTTGAGGTAGCCATTCCTCCTGCTTTATGTTGCTGAAAGAGTATTTTGTTTTCTACCACCCGCCATCCATCCTATACGAGGCCAAGAAATAGCTTTTGTGATTTCTAGTTCAGGTGTGTGACCTTATTTCCACCTTATTTTTCCATCTTTTTTTTTCTCCATGTTTTGGGTGGAACCGGGCCCTCCCCTACCCCCCTGAGATTTCTAGTCGACAAATTAGACGTAGAGGACATTGTGCAGAAAGCATTTAGCAGTGTTTTGTTTTTCTTTACAGTGCAAAGGGTGGATTTTAAAAGGGGTGAAGAAGGTTGTTGTGTGAGTTTTCTTTTTTCTGCACTATGTAGTAGGCGGGAAAAACTCTGGTGAATGAGACTCTGTCCTTTTAGTTTGTGGTCTTTTCAAATGAATTTTGTCGGTTGTATTCTCAAACCGAAAGAACGGCCATTTTTCCAGGGCAGGAATAAAAATAATAGCTACCCGATTTTGAAAGCTTATTTGCTAATCATGGTGCTAAGCACTTTGCATGCCACATGTAATCCTCACAGCAACCTGGTTAGAGTTTACAGAAGAGGAAAAGGCGCCATACAAAGATTGCAGTTTACTCAAGATCACACTGCTTGTAATTTTCCGAAGGCCCATTCCACCCCAGAAGAGAAGCAGTCGTTCTGATCCTAACTTCACTGATACTAGTAAAAGTAACTGGGAAAACTATTTTGTAGATCTTGCTTGACCAATTGTGCGAATTGTTAAGACAAGGCACTTAATTCTTTGAGCTTCAGTTCCTTGTTTTTGAAGTTGGGGAAGTGTATACTAGATAACCTTACAGGAGTTGTCCAGTAAAAAATTCTCTTATTCTAGTTGCACCTTAGACGTTCTCAGAACAGCAAGAACATTTTTATTTCCCACCTGAAAACTGCATGTCTGCAGATAATCTGGCAATAGCTACTTTTTACAGCTGTTAAGTCAGAGCTGGAAGGAATCAATTGGCTATTTAATCTCTCCATTCTATCCTAAAAATAGAACAATATTTCGTTTTCCAATAGTTGTTATACCATACTTGTGTTGCATATTCTTGACTTACTTTTTGATATCTAGGAACTTAGCTTGTTAAATTTTTATGTTTTTAGGTTCATTGAGATTTTTCTCTTATGGGCTTTCAAACTTCAATTGATGAATGCTAGTTCTTACTAAATGTTGTTAGTTTCTATATATTTTGCCTTCTGGTTCAGTTGGTAATATGGAATACATACATCCTGTTGGTGTTTATTTTATAGGTAGGAAGATATTTTAAGTGATAGAAAATTACAGTAGAACCATCTGGTGTATTTGGAAAAAAATTTATTTTAGGATTCTTTTAGAGTATAATGTTATTTCTCATAGTATGGGAAGAATGTTTATCTTAAAAGTTGGGTTTTTCATATAGCTTCATAGTGAACACATTTTGAGCACATTGCTCTGATATGAAGCGGTTTTTAGATATGTCAAAATGGTTAATTGGATAAGAGTTATTTCCGAATAAATGATTCTAGTAACTCCAATCATTACTTAATTGGAATTATTTTTAAAGTGTTTGTAATATTTATTTTTTAAGATCGTTTGCTGAAAGTAGCTTTTAAAATGTATTTGCTTTACTAAGTGTACTAACTTGAATAAATCAGAGGAAAGATGGTTTCATTGATTCAACTTTACTAACAAGCAGAATTAATATGCATGTTTTAAAAACATGAATAGACTATGAAATGAAATTTTTCCTTTAGCAAATTTAGTTTTAGTTAAAATGTCATCAAGAGACAGTTGCTTTATTAAATAAAGTCATCTGTGGGTATTTTAAATTACTTTGATTTAATTTCTATTCTTTTCATTTTTCATAATTAAGGTTTCCCTTAGATCATATTTGGAGATGATTATGGGCAAAAAAATTTCACATGTGATTTCAAAATGTAGAAAATCTTTTGACCACCAAAAAGCAGAGGAAAAAGTTTAAATACTTGAACAGTGGGGAAAAAAATAAAAGAAAGTGGAATAAGGGAGAAGGGCCACCTGGAGCCTCAAGGGAGAGAACAAAAATGGATATGTGATTAGTGTATAGAAAGTGGTGTGTTTGTGCGCACAGTTGTCGTTTTTTTTAAAGACCTTTACAATTTAAAATGACATTTGCATGACTGTTTTGTGCATTGTAGAGAAATATCATTGGTTTCAGCTTGAAATAGTCCCAGTAACATAGCACCTCACAGGAGGTGAATTCTCTGGAATTTGTGTAATCTACAATCTGCAGCAGCGTCAACACTCATTAGAAGAGCAGGTAAGGTGAAAGCTACAAGAACTACGTGATAATATGACATGCTTCATATGTATGGGAAATCACTCAGGATCTCATTCTTCTTTTAGAAATAATTCTAGTATTTTCAGACCATAATATAACTTTTGTATTGGAATGCCTAGGGGGTGCTATCAACTTCTGCTGTGTTTGGGGTGTGTCACTAAGCCTATAAGTGACAGTTCATATCTTTATATGATAGAGAATACAAACACTTGAATTGCATCCTACACCAAATAGTTCAGTAACCTGGGATCATTTAGTGTAGTAAAAACTCACTTTTCAGGATTTCATCCCACATTTATTGAGAACATAGTCCCTGTCTTTATTCAATTTATTGCCTATTTCAGGACCTGTTTGGGCTTCCTAACAGTCATATCCCAGAGCTGATCCTAAGCCACTGTGGACTTTTTCTTTCATCCATTCTGATTTCTGAAAACCACATAGAGATTTAGGCTGCATCCTCTTTCTTACTAAAATATACTACATATATTTTATCTTGTAGTTCTGTCCATATGATGGGCTGTGGAGTAGGCTAGCCTAAATTTTTTCCTGTAGAGTATAAAAACCTACATTATTTTTTAAAGAATCTTTTTACTCAAACTATGGGGAAAAATGAGATAACAGAAATAACAAATGGGGAAAATCACAAGGGATACTGCTTCTAAATAGTCTCATGCTATATGGTACTGAGCATGGTACAATTATAGATGTGGCAACATAGTATAACAGGAATCACTTGACCTTCCTACTGGATGACTTTGGGCAAATTGCATAACTTCTTGGGACATCAGTTTGTTAATCTGGAAAATGAGACATTTGAATTAGGTGACCTTTTAGACAGGCCATTTACCAGCTCTAACATTTACCATTGTGTGTCTGTAATTATGATCCTGAGTCTCTGAGAAACGGCTCAATTCTGTATAGTACTTTTAAGAAGTCAATTGGTGTTTACTATGCGTTTGAAATTTTTCATTCAAAACATTTTCTTGAAAATGACAAGCTGCTTTTTTCAGAAAAGGTCATATTGGTAACACAATTCTATTTCTTGGTGTGGGTAGAAAATTGAAACACAAACATAGCTGTTAGCCTTGGCTGGCAGCTTGTTGACTTAACTGCTTATGATGGTGATGGTGGAGTAGTTTGGCTTTTCTACATGTTGAGGTATAGGAATGCTGTAAGAGGACTTCTCAAAACTGATATTTACTAAATACTGGTTTGTGCCAAACATTACCAAATGATTTTCCACATATGTATCTCATTTGATAATCTCTTAGGATGCCTGTATATGGTTCTAACATCACAGGATTTCCGTACTTCTTACACCTCTACTTCCAAATGTTCATGCCACCTGTGGTTTAGATCAGAAAACGTGTAGTATAGATGAGTATTGTTTTATGAAATACATATTTCATGACGTATATAACCATTGTAAAATACACAGATATGTACATATTTCTAAGCACACACGGAGAAATATACACCAGAAGCAAAAAGTTTTAAAGTTTTATTTGTAACATTGGTTTATAGCACTGTATATGATTTAGAGGAATAGGTTCAAACTTCTTCATATGTGTATCACCATACCTTAGCTACCCTAGATCACCCATATTCCCTTATTGCATACTGTCGGGCTCCCCCCTCCCCACTTAGTTCCATTCTACCTTCCCACCTACTTGCTTTAATTCTGAAATCCTTTTTCTAAACTTTGTTTTCGTATAATTTTATCAGTTCCTTTGTTTTGTTCTTTATAGTCACATGTGAATGAAAGCATCCAGTATATGTCTTTCTACCTGTGGCTTATTTCAGTTAGCACAATCTCTTTTGATTCCATTCTTGTGGCAAATGACAGGAGTTCATCTTTTTTGTTTTTTCAGATAGCTGAATAGTATTCCACCGTGTATTTGTACTACGTTTTACCCATTCTTCCGCCCTTGGGCACTTAGGTTGTTTCTATTACTTGACTATTGTAGGTAATAGGGCAAAGGACACAGGAGTACATAGATCTTTCTAATTAGTGTTATTGCATTCTTTGGATAAATACCAAGAAATAAAAGTG